AATGTCAGACAGACATTGGCTGAAACTGATTAAAATGTTTACCAAAATGAAGTTTGACATTAATTAATTTCACTTCATCTTTATTTTAATCATGACCGTGTTGCCAAACAGTACTACTTTATTTTGAAGTTCTGGTACAAAAATATACTAACCGAAAGTCAAGAATTACATTCATTAAACCAAAGTGCTAGCATTTCGCTATCTAGAACTTAAAAAAATGACCGACGGTGTTATGATGCTTTGTGGGTCACGTTGACGTTTTGCAAATTTGGTTTGGTTTTCTCTTTCAAAATCGTCGATTATCAAACAATTTATATTTTCATAATTATTAAACAATTTATATTTTCATAATTATCAAACAATTTAAATTTTTAAGCGAAATCACGGATGCTATGGAACTATACAGATTAATGAATATGTCCAATATATAATATGTGTGACTAGAGCCAAGGTCATTTAAGTGATAACATCGAAATGTAAAAGACATTTATGAATTGCAGGTATAACACTAAAGACTGGTAATTCTCTTACATGTAACTCAACCTTCTGTGCTCAACGTGGTTTTTTTCAACTGACCTCGAACTATAGTTAGAAGCAGTATCTCCTAACGAACGGAATGGACCCTAAATGAAGGGCAAATATTTCACCGGGCAATATATATTGTATTACAAAGTAATTGCAACAATAAATCGATTTTAAAACTTTCACGTGCTTTCATAATAACTGATTTATAGATAGACCCCAAGAAATATATGTTTACCATAGTGTTTAAGTTGTAAGATGCATTTGTTTGTCTCGGATTATATATTTGTGTATTTCGTTAAAAATTAGAATACAGAATACTTTTAAACTTTGTTTTGTACATGTTATTCTTTGTTATTCTCAGTTTATCGATAACAAAGGACTAGGGGGTTATAGGTCATTTTTGGCCTCATAAAAAGAGAAAATTTCAACTATAATGTCTTTGCAAACTTCTGTTATAAACATCATATTTGTTAATTGGGGCTAACTTTCTTGGTGTGGACTTTTTCCAATGCGCATGCGTAGATGCCCTACCATAGAAACGAAACTGCGTTGCTATGCAGCAATAGCAAAAATATTGTGTTTTTGGACAGTTAACATGCAGAAATGAAAGGCTTCGATATGACAAACAAAAAATTCCTTTCTACGAATGAACACTGGTATGACAATGTTTAAGCATGTCAAATATTTATTTGTTTGTTGCATGCGGAGGCTTTCAAAAATTGAAGAGCGTTTAGTTAATTTTCTTCAAAATGGCCAATTTTCAACCAAATAATAATATTACAACAGACGATATTCACACATTTTATCATGACAATGCGGGTTTATGTCTCTCTTTGGAATGCCATATCTAATACATATGTCATATATAAACCATTTGTCGAATGAATTTGAAATTTCATACTTGCGTACTTCATTTATTCCAGATTACGAATATAACAACTAATTCTAAATCCCCGATGAGGCCGGAAATAACCCTTCACGCCCCTAGTCCTTTGTTAAAACCAATGTATGATTAACAAGTAAAACAAAGAGCCAACAAAAATAAATCAGATGTGTATATACTTACCGAGGTTCAGAAGTGTACAAGCCAAAGTTATCAATATATGCTGAAGCGTAACCATCACACCTTTTATGTATATCCGGTGTAATAGAAACAACAAGATATTTTATATCATTTACCTTCTAACGACTCTACATCTACAGAGCTAGCTAGATCATGAAATAATTTGTTCAGAAGGCATTGACTCTTAAGGACTGATTCCATCCATATAATAAATTAGCACGTGATATATATGGAATGCCGTAATGAATCTTGATTCCGTTAAAGAATTTTACATAGAATGCTAGAATACCGCAGACATGTTCACAATAACGAAGGTATCCAACAGTATACAACACACATGTCAATACTTATATGGAACTTAATGACTTGATATTGACCGATTTCAATCGACGAAAGAAATTTCTAATGAAATCTACAGAACCAGCTCTCTAGAGATGCTGCCTATATGCATCGGTTATCACACGATGTGATTCTTAGACAATACAATCTTTGTCCGACACAAGCAAACACAATCTGTATTAGAGACCAACACTCGCAGTATTCAGCATGCAGTGCCTTACCAGACACAGATAGCCATGGTATAACTCAGACATTGACATTCACCATACACATCATTTATATACCATATTTGCATATATATACTTTTGAGAATTTTCCCTTGTGATGTTGACTTCTAATCCTTATTATATTGATACCAATGAAGGCATTGTTACTCCCACCGTTGATATAAATAAATAATATATGTTTGTCTATGGTTTTTAAAACGCAATTTTACGATGGCCGATAGCAGCCGACACAAAACAACTACAATATAAGACATTTATGTACATGTACACTTTTTAAAAACTGTACATGTACACAATACAACTACAATATAGGACATTTATGTACATGTACACTTTTTAAAAACTGTACATGTACACAATACAACTACAAGTGCTATTAACATTCCTTAACGGTTCGGATCAACTTGATATTTCACACGTGTCTGATACGGCGGCTAATAAACGACAAGGAAATTACTAGATTCCCCAGAAGTCAAACAGTACTAGACGGTCACAAATCAGAGGTATACCAAATATCATATAATTTGTATGTGATTTTTGGAGTAATGGTTGGAGACAAAACAAAAACATGTAGTTACTTAATTTGTATATAGAATTATAATGTTAACCCAATAACCCCAAATACGTAATTTAAAGTGTTCCATGTGACATATTCACAAGTTTAAAGGCTATTGCCTTTGGTATAAAACACTAGTTATTTCTCTCAGAACAATCTACATACAACTTTTGTTACAGTAAGTATTATATTATATTTGACTTTAGCACTCAACTATTCACACTGAACAAGGCAACGTTCTACTTTATGACTCCAATCCATACATTAGGTAAAGTCCACATAGATATGCGTATAACGATGGCTTATGTCTGTTACATTTCTTTCAAATTAAAAATAGGACATAAGACCTATCAATATACAAAGAAAAGATTAAGAAAATTTAAACACTTGATAATTACTAATGTCAAACTTTTCTAGTATATCCATTTTCAGGTGATGAGACCTCTATCGCCTCTTCGCTGATTTATGAACATATTCCCTTTATTTATCGTTTGGTCTTTAAATTCACCGTCGCATCAGGCACGTGTGAAATATCAAGTTGACCCGAACCGTTAAGGAATGTTAATAGCACTTGTAGTTGTATTGTGTTCATGTACAGTTTTTAAAAAGTGTACATGTACATGCATGTCTTATAGTGTAGTTGTTTTGTGTCGGCTGCTATCGGCCATCGTACAATTTAGACAATTCATCAATTTTAATTTTTAAAATATTGAAACAATCTAAATGGTACTATTTTAGCAATATAATATGTAGGTTTATTGCTATCGGCCAAAATAGCTTTATTATTTAGCAATTATTTTGAGAAATAGACGAGAAAGTCAAACTATTAGCGATAGATATATGTCGTCACCGAGATTATGTTCTGATGTCGTGCTATTGTTTGGTTACATTCAACATGATCTATAAACGTAGATACATGTAAGTTTACCACTGACATTTTGGATATGTGTCGCGTATGCAACGGACCGATTTTTATCTCATCGCTGTCGTAGCGATGCAATTCAAAACCGTATTATATGTGTAAGTAAACATCACGAGGCTGGCAGTTGAATTAACAAGCAAATACCTTGTATACCAGCAAATCGTAGTAGCATTGTATATCTAGATAACACCGTCTCAGGAAGTAATAACAAGTACGTGTACAGCCATCCATAATTAGAAAATTGCAAATATCAATACGTGGAGACGATATCATGTTCTCGTGCAGTAAATGCTCAGTGTAGCTTACATGCATGTTCTGTTAACACGGCGCTACAACTCAACAGAAAGTATAGAAAGAGTCCTGTGTATCTTTTGCCTGCCATGTTTCCTGTACAGTTATCCGCTGTCCTACTATGCTCCAGTCTGCTTTGTCTACATTTATCTACTACCTTCCTGCAGAAAGTACCAAAGGTAGACTTCAGCTTGTTCTGTAAACATGTATAATCTACTATCGTACCGAAAGTGGCATGTCTAGATTTCAGTTTTGTTTTTGTTTTCTGCACATAGAACTATAGTTTCACTTAAAAGAACTTTAGGTAATTTTGCCAATGTCCCCGATATGCCCCATCGTTTCATAAAGTTTCATAAACCATAGGAAATCCAAGTAAAATCATCTTCAGTCTATTTATGATAGGTCCCCCATGTTGTTCTCGATACCGACAGACTCGTAATAACCTTATGAGGCTGAACAGGCCAAAATATTTTCATGAAAATATAAAAAATAGCTTTTTGATTGAAATGATTATTATTTTTTATACACATCAATATATCATGGGTATCCAATTACTGTTGTCATGCTTTTCCCTTAGCAGCTGGAATTTAGACATTAAATGCTTTCATGTTTTTACCCATAGTACAAAATAGCCATATAGTACGACATAATCAAGTTTAAATTGGAGCTTCCCTAGTTGGTATTTCTAGTCATTATTTTATATTCATTAATCAAGATACATCTCTCACCGAAGTTCTATTTTACAATTGCAGGTTGTGTTTTCCTAGAATTAAAGAAACCTTGAGTAAGTCTGAAGGATTTCAAGCTATGGTCTCTCCTGCTACAGATAGACGTATTTCCTGATCTTTCTGTTTTTGTGACATATCGCGAGCGTGACTCAATAAAAACATGTATATTGTTTATTAAGGTACAGCCGAGGTAAGAGATTTCATGAATTGCCAAAAATGTTGAAGTCAATACAGACACGCACTATTCTTATCATGAAGTACATAAGTATGTATACTTTGATTCTACATCTGTATTGATGCGTCCGGCTGATCAATCGGTTCTGGGTCATATAAATAACAAACATTAATATAAGAAATCATGTCGTTTATTTTGAATTTGTTTTCACTTTTTTAGTTATATGCGTAAGGATAAAAATTAAGCAATTCTACTGTTCAGCTAAATACTTAAATTCATTTTAAGGTAAATGTGTTTTTCGTTTACTAAATATCATGACTTCATTACAGAATGACTCTGTTCAGTCAATGGTTTCCCTGCGTTTTGTTACGTCACACATGTTACAACTCCTCCTTCGCTACAAAGTCCCATGACAACACGACTCCTTGCTTCGGGCCAAGCGTGATTGAATCCGTTGTCACTTCGGATTCTACTTCCAGACCCACATCCGGTCCTGATGTCATAGCTACCTCGGCGTCCTTCTCAACACTGGCGTATCCATAGTAACTGCGCGTCTGGCTAGTAGTGCCGAAATTGATGGCAACCAAATACCTGAAATACGTACGGGAAGAAAGAGGATTGGAATAAGATTAGAAGAGGCAATTTGGTTCAATATCTGTTCAACACCAGTTATAGCTATACAAATAGCTTGAATAGTTTATCAATAACCCATTATTCAATACAGTAATGGAAATCGTCTTCTCCTCATTGAACGCAGCTCTAACTACTTCTCACTGGAATATCTGCCACCCCTTCTTATGATATTTATGCTCTTTCCTTCTCCCTATTGAACAATTCTCAATTTCTCCTTTCCCTTCATTGAGTTAGTGGGTTTTTTTTTAAGTTTAAACATATTTTATTGTACAAATATACAAATGGATTGGACAACAAGTTATTGTAACTTAATAAAAGTCCTCTCGTCGAGTTATGATCCCATCCCTTTTCTCAAGCTGAAACATAATGCTTATTCCTTCTCCCTGTTGAACTCAATACTCACTCTTCCTCGCCGAACATAAAGCTCAAGCCTTTCCCCTATCAAACTCAATCATCACTCCTTCGCTTCCATAAAATCACTGCTAACCCTTCTCATCACAAACAGTTAAGTTCCCCCATCCTTACCCATAAGGAAACGTATGCTCACCCCATCTCCCCATTGAACTCTCTGACGTATGAGAAGATATTGTCGTCTACAAGCGCTGGATGATAAGTTCCGACTCTGAAGGAAGTCTGCTGCCGCAGTTTGGTCAGGCTACGAATGTACTGAAGCATAGAATCGGCGTTGGCGTCCTGGCTCTGAAATATATTACAGTAAAATCAGCTATTTCCTAATAAGTTCTTTAACGTGTGTTTCTCTGTTTTCCTCTAGTATCTACACCAGGGATTGATGTTCCTACACGTGTGAAGTTTGTCGCTTCGCTGGTGGTATGCGTTATTTAAAATGTATACCTAGTACTGACAATGTGTAACAAGGTATATAAGCATTTATTTGTTTGACACTTTAGAGTAATGCTTATAAGAAGTTTCCATGGCCTGACCGAATTTGTGCAAACCAAAGAGATTAAAAACCCATGATAAGTTGAACACTTTTACACTCCTAACTTTGTTCTGTTAACGTCGTAAAATGGGTGTTGGACACATGCTTAGACAGTACCTGAACATTATTGGTGGATGCATCTGCGTTGGGTGATATCCATGGAGTCGAACATGTCGACGCGGAACAAAAGCCACCATCAGTCGCGTTTCTCCACTGCATGAGACCGCGCATGGTCCTGTTGTTACCGGAATTAGCAATGCCAGGGTTGTTTTTGAGTAAGATTTCGTCTCCATAATAGAGGATGGGGGTACCCGGAAGAAGCATGGTCAACATGTAGTATGCACGGATGTAACTGCTGTTGAATCGAGACGCGAATCTGTCGACATTTTCATCACCAGCCTGAGAAAAGATCACACAGATTTACAATAAGGTACCGATGGGCGACATATATACATGTATGCATCTCTTTGGTAAAACGTAGTTTTCTACTACATGATTAACTGACATCACACGCAACTGGGAAATGCATTTCAAATTATGTATTTCAATAAGTTATACATTATTGTAAGATGCCCGATTTATACGTTTCTGTTTTTATGCCGGCCGTTTTTTAAGCATACAATACATATCACTTGGTTTAAATGGTATCGAAAATAGGCAAGGAAGTGCTGACCTGTTTCAGGTTTTCAGATTAGCATCGGTGCTTTCAACCAAGCACAGAGCAGAATATTCTAGGGCACTCAGAAAATTGTTAAAACTAAGTCAGGCCTATCTATCACAAAGCTTCGTTTTAACAATTGGGTACTTGACACATGAACCTCACTGCCAGAATACACGGCTTTAAGCTCCAAGTTTAACTCACTAAAGTTATACTCAATAACACTGGAGTAAACACCGAGCCAAGTTAATCTCCGACTGCAATGTAACACAGCCGGAAATCAACTACCAGATTCAAAATGACTTACAGAAGCCTTAGCTTTTGTACATCAGCGTCAAATCAATATAAATTCAGCGTATATTGTTTTCGTATAAACATGCTCATACCCATCAATGTAGGTTCGAATAAATATTCAAGTCATTCAATTTGTGAGAAGTACAAGATAAAATCGATCGTGCATACCATCCAACTAGCCCATCGCCCTTCAGATAAGTTGGACATCCACGAATCAACGTAGGTCTTGACGCATGCTCCGTTGCAGCTTCCTGCTTTGTCAAAGAAGTATCGGTTGAGAGAGAGGTGAACACCATCCTGTCCCGAGTGACCATAGTACGCCATGGTTGTTGTGACGTCACTGGATGGCATATCCGCTATCAATATACTGTAAGGACAATTAAAGCACATCCAAATGTATTACAAATGAATGTTTTAAAGAATGCTAACACAGGAAGGTACAGTATTATATGTCTTGCCTGAGATTACCGAACAGTAATTTTGTGGATTATTTACTAACAACAGTGTAGTTAAGGTATTCTAGTCTTCAAAAAAAAATATTCTCAAATATTATCGTATCAGTTTTTACCGATGAAAGCGAGCTTGAATATTCGCTATAGCTCACATTTCTGGACTCAGTGATTCCAATAGTCCTTGTGGTTTTAGAGATCGATGGAAAAGGGTTGATAACTTGAAAATCTTGACTAGAAGTAATAGTCCAGGAAGTGACCGGCCGGATGATCGGAGTCAAAACATTCGATAGCATACTCGTATAGAACAAATAGAAGTACAACATAATTGTACATTCGTAATGTTACACTGGCCGGAATCTGGACATCGCACTGACCTATCGTTAGAGCTAACCACAGCCCGCCACCTTGATAGCATGTCGAACACTCCTGGTAGTGCTAAAGTGTAGTTGTGGACAAGATTCTCGTAATCATTCTGTAAACCAACAAGTAGAAACATGAAGTGGGTCATGGATGTGTTGTCTCGTAAACCTTACAAAGCACCAACATAACCTATTCTTTTAGTATGTACTATTGAAGCAATATTTCATTATGTTTCTGGGCTAAAGACAAAGCCAAATAATCTAGCAAATCTTCTTCCGGTATCGGCTGTTGTGATACTGATGGGGTTATTCTAATAAATGTGCTGAATACATTTTGGCATTAGAACAAGTTTTTCCAGTGATATAAGATATCAAAAATCAAATTCCTTACCTATTGCATAAAGTGTTAAACTGTAAAGTGTAATTTTTACAAAAAAGTGTATAATATTGCTAGTGGACATAACAAAATATGCCATACTATATGCTTATGGTGTAATAATTATAGGTGTGTTAAAAATTAAATACAAAATTGTAGTGCTATGAAACCTATTACAGTGTATCAATAACAAATCGACATGCTTACAAATTAAATGACACATAATTGTTTAGAATACACGAAGAAACGTAATGTATGTACATAAATTATATTGATCAATACCTTATTTCGTTGTTGTATCCTATTGGTAAAATGTAACATACCGTGCTTCCTCCTCCGTTAGACCCTTCGTTCCGCAGATCGTAATCCTCAAATAAGTAGGCGCTGTTCCGAACGTAAAACCCGTCCACGCCCTTCCTCAGCCAGAACTCTAGAACAGTCTGAATCAAATCACAGATAATTTATATTTTTGACGTGTATAATTGTCTACATACCCATTATACCATTTCGTACGACATATCGTTTATTGGTTTTACTTATATTATAATTGCTGAAACTAGAGTTAACCTCTAATAACGAAAATGACGATTTCGCATTACAGAAGTTACTCCCCACGTCCTAATACCCGAAGATGTTACAAAAGTTGTGGTTAATCTTTTCGTCGGTGACTTTTAGTTTATTCGTACAAGTAAAACGGTAGGTAGACCATCTGGGGCATTTCTTGAAACATGTAGCATACAGGAAATCTTGTTGACTATTAACTTAAGTTAGTACCTTGTTGACGTTTAACTTAAGTCAGTACCTTGTTGACTATTAACTTAAGTCAGTACCTTGTTGACTATTAACTTAAGTCAGTACCTTGTTGACTTTTAACTTAAATCAGTACCTTGTTGACTATTAACTTAAGTCAGTACATTGTTGGCTATTTACTTAAGTTAGTACCCTGTTGACTATTAACTGAAATTAGTACCTTGTTGACTTTTAACTTAAGTTAGTACCTTGTTGACTATTAACTTAAGATAGTACCTTGTTGACTATTAACTTAAGTCAGTACCTTGTTGACTATTAACTTAAGTCAGTACATTGTTGGCTATTTACTTAAGTTAGTACCCTGTTGACTATTAACTGAAATTAGTTCCTTGTTGACTTTTAACTTAAGTTAGTACCTTGTTGACCATTAACTTAAGTTAGTACCTTGTTGACTATTAACTTAAGTCAGTACCTTGAGCTCGTCCTGGACACGCCCACTCCGAAGGTTGAGGTCAGGCTGGGAGGTTGAGAACTGGTGCAGGTAAGTTTCGTTCCTAGCAAAATGGAACGTCCACGCCACATCTCCGCTCACAGTCCGCTGGTAAATAACAGTATACATTAATTTTCTGATAAGCGCTCCGTTTTTTCTTACATATGCTATTTGACCTACGAATTGATATATGTTTTTGAAATCAGTAGTCAAAGATTATATTATTGAAGGATATGGTGTGATAATGTGAAGAGTAAAAGACCTTATTTCTCCAGTTTAATATATATATGTTCAAATAAATCAAGCATTACCAAACCGCAGCAATATGTCTTTGCTGTATGTACGTTCTAGCGAGAATACATGTACTTATACAGTTATTGAAAATAAGTTTTTCTGTAACATGTGTTTTGTGAACGAGGTAACTCAGTAGTATGGACATTGTTTACAAATGAAACCAGGAATACTACGCGAAAGTATTAAGTGTTCTGAAAGGGAAGTTTCATAAATTATTGGACCCCGACCTGAGGAAGCCTATTCTGAAATAATAATGATAATAATACCCCGATGAAGTATGGTGGTTAATATGTACCCAGCTGTTTAGTGACTAATTTCGTATTCGTTTATAGATGAAACCATGGCGTAGGTTGAAATACCTACCCAGTGTAAAGATTGGATAACATGTTTATAATTGTAGTACCTACAGTGTACAGAGTTCTCTAGTGACTAGATTCGTACCCATATAGAGATACACTAGTGACTAGATTCGTACCCATATGGAGATACACTAGTGACTAGATTCGAACCCATTTAGAGATACACTTGTGACTAGATTCGTACCCATATAGTGATACACTAGTGACTAGATTCGTACCCATTTAGAGAAACACTAGTAAATAGATTCGTACTCATTTAGAGATACACTAGTGACTAGATTCAAACCCATTTAGAGATACACTAGTGACTAGATTCGTGCCAATTTAAAGATACACTAGTGACTAGATTCGTACCCATTTAGAGAAACATTAGTGACTAGATTCGTGCCTATTAAGAGAAACACTAGTGACTAGATTCGTGCCTATTAAGAGATACACTAGTGACTAGATTCGTGCCAATTTATAGATACACTAGTGACTAGATTCGTGCCCATTTAGAGATACACTAGTAACTATATTCGTACCCATATAGAGATACACTAGTGACTAGATTCGTGCCTATTAAGAGATACACTAGTGACTAGATTCGTAGCCATATAGAGATACACTAGTGACTAGATTCGTACCCATAAGGAGATACACTAGTGACTAGATTCGTACCCATATGCAGATACACTAGTGACTAGATTCGTACCCATATACTGATACACTAGTGAGTAGATTCGTACCCATTTAGAGATACAATAGTGACTAGATTCGTACCCATATAAAGATACACTAGTGACTAGATTCGTGCCCATTTAGAGATACACTAGTGACTAGATTCGTGCCCGTTTAACGATACAACAGTGACTAGATTCGTACCCATATATAGATACACTAGTGACTGGATTCGTAGCCATATAGAGATACACTAGTAACTAGATTCGTACTCATTTAGAGATACACTAGTGACTAGATTCGTTCCCATTTAGAAATACACTAGTAACTTGATTCGTGCCCATTTAGAGATACACTAGTGACTAGATTCGTTCCCATTTAGTGATACACTAGTGACTAGATTCGTACCCATTTAGAGATACACTAGTAACTAGATTCGTTCCCATTTAGTGATACACTAGTGACTAGATTCGTACCCATTTAGAGATACACTAGTGACGAGAGTCGAACCCATTTAGAGATACACTAGTGACGAGATTCGTACCCATTTAGAGATACACTAGTGACTAGATTTGTACCTATATTGAGATACACTAGTCACTAGATTCGTTCCCATTTAGAGAAACACTAGTGACTAGATTCGAACCCATATAGAGATACACTAGTGACTAGATTCGAACTTATTTAGAGAAACACTAGTGACTAGATTGTACCCATTTAGAGAAACACTAGTGACTAGATTGTACCCATTTAGAGATACACTAGTGACTAGATTCGTTCCCATTTAAATATAAACTAGTGACTAGATTCGAACCCATTTAAGGATACACTAGTGACTAGATTCGTACCCATTTAGAGATACACTAATGACTAGATTCGTACCCATTTAGAGATACACTAGTGACTAGATTCGTTCCAATTTAGAGATACACTAGTGACTAGATTCGTACTCATTTAGAGATACACTAATGACTAGATTCGTACCCATTTAGAGATACACTAGTGACTAGATTCGTGCCAATTTATAGATACACTAGTGACTAGATCTGTACCCATATAGAGATGCACTAGTGACTAGATTCGTTCCCATTTAGAGTTACACTAGTGACTAGATTAGTACCCATTTAGAGATACACTATTGACTAGATTCGTTCCCATTTTTAGATACACTAGTGACTAGATCTGTACCCATATAGAGATGCACTAGTGACTAGATTCGTTCGCATTTAGAGATACACTAGTGATTAGATTCGTTCCCATTTAGAGATACATTAGTCACTAGATCTGTACCCATTTAGAGCTACACTAGTGACTAGATTCGTTCCTATTTAGATATACACTAGTGACTAGATCTGTACCCATTAAGAGATACACTAGTGACTAGATGCGTACCCATATACTGATACACTAGTGACTAGATTCGAACCCATTTGAGGATACACTAGTGACTAGATTCGCACCAGATACACTAGTGACTAGATGCGTACCCATTTAGTGATACACTAGTGACTAGATTAGTTCCCATTTAGAGATACACTCGTGACTAGATCTGTACCCATTTATGATACACTAGTGAGTAGATTCGTACCCATTTAGAGGTACACTAGTGACTAGATTCGTTCCTATTTAGATATACACTAGTGACTAGATCTGTACCCATATAGAGATGCACTAGTGACTAGATTCGTTCCTATTTAGATATACACTAGTGACTAGATCTGTACCCATATAGAGATGCACTAGTGACTAGATTCGTTCAAATTTAGAGATACACTAGTGACGAGATTCGTACCCATTTAGAGAAACACTAGTAAATAGATTCGTACTCATTTAGAGATACACTAATTACTAGATTCGTACCCATTTAGAGATCCACTAATGACTAGATTCGTACCCATTTATAGATACACTAGTGACTAGATTCGCACCAGATACACTAGTGACTAGATGCGTACCCATTTAGTGATACACTCGAGTCTAGATTCGCACCCATTTAGAGACACACTAGTGACTAGATTCGTTCCCCTTTAGAGATACACTAGTGACTAGATTCGTTCCCATTTAGAGATACACCATCGTGTTGTTGTAGAAGCAATCCAATTGTTTAGTAACCTTGTTCTTACCCGTTTACAGATAAAACCGTGTTGTATATTGAAACACCTTACCCAGTTGTTTGTGTAGTCGGACCAGACGTAGTAGTTACGATAGTCGTTTGTATGGGCACTGGAAGCAGCACTGGCTGTGAACCATGAGTGGTTTTTACTTGTTTGGTTCGGTATGAAGTCCAAAAGGATTCGCATCCCTATAAGACAGAAAAAATGTTTGTAAGCAACCCTATGATGAAAAAAAAAGGAAACTAATGCCCATGTGGCGCAGACGGCACAAACTAGCACCCATGTGACTATAATGGTAATTAACTTACAATAATAGTTACAGTGTAGCTATATTACGCTACATAATCTGATTTCTCAAATTTCATATCAAATCGCAATCTGACGCTGTATTTCCGTTCTCGGTCTTGCCTTCCGTGGGACTGCTACGGTCGTTGAACTTGTGACGTCACAGTCAATAGAGTCCCATTCACCGTGAGTTACGATTATGCTGATTAGAAGCAGAAGGACAGGTGAAAATCGTACACTTTACAAGTGTATATCACGGTAATGCGGTTTTCGACATTTTTGTTTTGGAATCATATAGAGGTATGATATATTCATTTCTATTTTCGTTCAGGGTACACTTTAACTAGCATCCCTGTAGGTTGTCCATTGGCGACAGTTACAGATGAAATATGTGACCTTACATTGTACAGAAATGCACTTTATCTTTTATTTTAGTTTGGAATACACAATGTGACCTACATTTGCCCTTGACCTTAGCTGTGCAGTATATCACTCTGCGAGTTCAGGTTGGAATACACAATGCGACCTACATTTGCCCTTGACCTTAGCTGTACATTATATTACTTAGCGATGTTCATGTTGGAATACACATACACAAAGTGACAAACCTTTGTCCTTGACCTTGGTAATGAGGGCTGTGAGGTTTAACATTGACCCAAGATCAGGATGGACACGGAGACTGTCTGTGACACCAAAGTCATCTGTACCATCGGTTTCAAATACCGGACTGAGGGAGATGGTGTTGGCCCCTAAGGCCTGGATGTAGTCCAGCTGCTGCTCCACGCCTGTGTCAGATTGTCATTAAGAGGCAATGCACATTTCTCTAATGTATCGTAAATGTTTTCTTTAATATAAATATATAATTATACACTGGCTAAATGATTGATATAGTGAGATAAATCATCCAAGATCAAATATTCAACTATCTTTAATTGATCTTGACCTCAAAGAAAAAAAGACTCGTGTACAAACGAGTCATTTTGATCATAAAGATGTAACTTGCAAATATGAAATGGGTTCGCAAGATCCATTTTTGCCAAACTTAAAGACTTAATGATATGTAGAACAAATAATGGGGACATCAATTAGTCATCTTACCTAGGATTTATCTTAATGTGTTGAATAACGTATCACTTACCTGTAAGATCACCAATCCCGTCTCCGTCTGAATCTTGAAAACTTCTGACGTAGATGCGGTACACCACGTCATTCTGCCACCAACTTCTTTCTTCCGCCGCTTTGCATTTTGGGTACATAAGCACAAGTGCCACCACGGCTACCAGGAGTGCAAGCCATGCCAGAATGACGAGACCAATGAAAGCAGCTCGCAATCGTCTCCAGCAGGGTTGGGAGGAAACCTCCAGCAACTCCTTCTTGTTCATGCCATAGAAGGGATTATTTTCCTCCTCCTTGTAAAACTCGGGAACAACCTCGAGCTCCGTAGCCCTGGAATAGATTGTTGAAGTATGTATTATCTACACTTTCTTACCAAGTGTAAGTCCAAGTTTCAAATTTACATTTTAGTTCTAAGTTAGACAGTCACATATTTCTTTTCGGAATAATGTTAACTCTATATTGGGGTTCAGTCCGGCGAATTATTTCTCTCCGCAAATATCGTCTCAGGAATTTCATTTTAGGTTAATTGGTTTACACATATATCTAGGTTTATTCAGTGTGTATGGAAATTAACCATAGCGTACATCAGACAATCAGTTGGTAAACATGTACCTAATCAATTCCATCTTAATTGATTTGTTTATAATTATACAATAACAAAAATACGGTTCATCCTTAATGTTCCCAAAAGAATAATACTGTATATTTGTTCATAGTGAAATATTAAATACGTTATTATGAAAGAACGTTCAAATTTACATCTCTTTTCCATAATAGCAAAATACTGTAGAAATCTGAAAACTATATACTTATGGTTATCATATCAACGGACTCGAATTACATTAACTCTCAATAGAGATTCAGAATATCACCAAAACATTCATGTCCGAAAAAAATATCATTTTCAACTCTAGTGAAAAACGCCTTCAACACTACGTGCTGTTCATTATTTCAAATGTTGTGTTGCTAATATTAATGATAGACATACTTTTGGTGCAGACTTGATCCTCTCTAAGGAATTAATTCTTAATAAGATAGAAAAATGTTGGAACCTAAAAAACATACATCGTGTAAGCCAAATATGTGTTGAAAGACTTACTCCATGTTCGGCGCGGATGACAATCTGTACACACCGGTATTGTTAAACATCACATCCGGTCCAAAATCTTTTCTTTATCTCCTGGAAAAAACATATGCACAACGAATGACTAACTGTCATACGATTTCACAATGAAAGTGTTCGTTTGCACATGTAGTTAAGACCAAACATGCCAAGCCAAGCCAATTCCAACGTTTACATACATGTTCTACGAATAAAAGTTGTGCCTCCAAGACATAAAGTAATGCAGATCTTCTCGGTTTAAAGTACGTAAAAAACGTAAAACTGCTCCCCCATAGGAACTAGGTATGGAAACTCTACGCTTGTTTTCCCATCCCAATTTGTAGATACAATGTATGTTAAAAGTACGTTGAACTATTTAACGAAACTAATCTAGTAGAAAATAACTTATTGTGACGTCATCACGATTGGAAGCTCAACGTTACCGACTGCGTGATAGTGGCTGTTGAGTGTTCTATTTATTGAAAATGTATATTATCTCAAATATTAAAAAGATTGATTGTTTATACAAATGTATCAGTAGTAACAGCATTCTATTCAAAATAACAGTTAATTAATTCTGCACGTGACTGCAGTCATTAAACATAATCCACGCGCGTCCTTCGTTGTTATTGTCAGCAATATATCAGCCTGTTTATATGTCTACAGTTCAAACTGATATGACTATACAGCTAAACAAACTGCAGTTGATAAACATAATATGCATGATTCCATTTTAATTGGTCACAGTTTATTACTTAAATATTTATAGAAGAACACATGAAAGTTATATAAAACTCTTCATTTAAGTTTTTCTTACCTTATCCAAATGTATTTGGATAAACAAAAATAACTATTAAAAATCGACGAATGTGCATGTTTAGCAATCGCTACGCTGCTAGTCTGATAGTTTGGGCGGGACCCGGCCGCTTGACAAGTATTCTCTTCTAGCACGAGGCTTTCCATAACGACATATGTCTTACAATGTGTAAAGCTAACAGTAAGTCATGAAATAATCCACAATATATATAAGCAAATGACAATGATGTCTTACCTGTTTCGATGTCGATGTTAAATCTTCTAAATTCAATATGGCTTCCCAAGGCTGGTCCAAACTACAATAATTTGGGGTCTATAAATATAAACCGTGTGTACAAGTGTGTGACTCTGTATACCTGTTCTGTTTACCTGGTTATACCTGGTCTACATAACCACGGATCTAATCAGCTTCACATCTATGTACGAATATTTTTATTTGACATGTTTCCGAAGTGTTTCACATGTACAGGTTAGGTACTTTTAAAGGAGTCTGAAGTGCTAACATGTATAATCAATATGTCATGATGTTTTAACGTGTTAGCGTATAAACAATACATACACTAGCTAAGACAACAAGTGTAGATATCCTGCAAAAAGCTTACAAAACGTTATTTAAATGACAGATCCCGACCGCCAGGTAAGTGACACAGGTAGCTGAAGGATGTCGTCGCCAGTACAGGTGTAACGTAGCAGTGGTGTCTTCTCACTGGTATATCATTTACCTGGTATATATAGGGGAGGGGCTGGTGGTAGCCGTCCTTGATTTACAGATGATAGAATGATCAAAGCCCCGGCTGAGCAATCTATGAAAAGAATGTGCTCACCAGTGATGTGAATGTTGTAAAAAATGGATACTTATCACCATTCAAGACAAAAAAAGTGTACCTCATCAAATATCCTCATGTATATATACCTGTAAAAGATTTATAGTTACATTCTGTGATACAAATATTGATATTTGCTCCAAATACAAGTACCTTGTATTTTAGTTCATATATGGTACGAGAACCGTAAGCCATATACATAAATATACCTAATTCAGTTTCATAGGGACGTAGAGATATCATACATACCAAACATATACCACAATTCTTAATGTATTTTATCCGGGTCTCATATCAGTGTTTGAAATCTATTGTTGGCTCACCATTTTATGACTAACACAATAATGGATGGAAGAAGTTGGGTAGTCGCACCCATTTGTATGTATGTATTCTCTTCACTGTATTGTTTATGAGAATAAAACAATTGTCAATGTCGTTGTCGTATATCAAGGACAATGTAACCTATCACCTATGGCGAATCATTTCGGTAAAGGTATTGTCGTTTTTGTCTGAAAACTTAAAGTAACATATTTGCACTCGGTACAGTAGACTGGCCACCGTCTCTAGAATATTAAATAATAAAGAAAACAATTTAAACTCTAAAAATGTGGATCACTTGACGATCATAAGTTCTTAACTCGGGGGAGATAAGCTAGTAGTAAAATTCAGCCGAGAAATTCTTCATAAAAACTTGGGGGCTGGTAGCCAGTCTATCGGTACAGCCGTGAAGAAGATTCCTATCTTAATATCACTTAATATTCCTATCCCAGCTTAATACACGTACGTCAAAGGCATCCCTGTAGTGACTTTTATCTAGACAACTGCAAGGATATTCGACAAATATCCATAATGATGACATGCATTTCCGTTGGATGTATCACAGCTAGTCGTGAAGCTACCCAGGCTGATTATATATAAGACAGGGCAGATCACATGTGTAGAGCGTGTAAACCTAATTTCTACAGTGTACAGGTAACAATCACGCATGATATGCACTGTTTACCTTCAGTCTTGTTAACTGTGCTCTTAGTTGTCATATATGATATTAAAAAACATTTTAGATATTCAAAGTATTTCCGTTCTCAATAATTGTCATTTCATACACTTCATGAATATACATGTATATATGGCAATATTGTATTATTCAATAATCCAGTGTGGACATGTAGTGTTCATACAATAACAACAATGTTTTAACAAACAGTTTGACCGATGGTCAAATAGTTTGCATTGTTAACGTTCTTGATATTCGGTTAACAAACAAATTCCATAAATCCATCAGATGAACCTGTCATTTGTTTAGCATGAGTATTCCAGGTGATATTAAGTCGAACATGCAGTTATACATAGAATAATGCTTCTCGATACTTCGTGGATGATCTTGGAACTCAAAAGTGTTTGGCCAGGAGGGGTGACGTAGGATGTCGAATAACATGTATTAGACACTTGCAGTTTTACGACTGTTTTAAGGACTATACATGTTGCCAATACCAGCCTTATTACTAAACTCTATTCTTGATCAAAACAAGCTACAAACAGATATAGCAATACTATGTAATTACGACCATGCAATCCGTTATAATGTGAAGCATAATCCACATTACGGAATAAACTATTGTGTAAATTTAGATTCCATAAGTCGTACAATGGAGGGTAATCATCTTTTTAGTTCTCTAGGAGTGAGTACATATCTTTGGATCTTCTTAATTATCTGATAAGTAGTTATTTTACAATCTACTTGTAACCTACGAACAGCATAATGCATGCATTACCATTGACTGTCAGTAAGGAAATGCTTGAGAAGTTGCTTTATTACCACTAACCGTTTCAAAGCATTGCGCAATCGACCATTAGTGTCAAGAAACCTGTTTAAACTTAAAAAATAAAAAAAAATAAAAAAAATAAAGTAGTAGTACATAGATAGACAAAACAGTAAATCATGCAGTATTTTGTTGGTCGCATTATCTTCCCGTCACTCGCTAATCGATACATCTAGAGTGTCCTGTCTCCCGATTTTACTCACGTGCTTGTGATGAGATACTATCATTTTTGATAAATTATGAATATTTTTAATTGTTTGGTTATCAATAATTACAAATTATCTTCTTAAGTAGTGACAATCTTAATAGTCTTTTATAGCAAAGTGTTAACTTCGTAATTCTTTGATAATAAGATTATCTTTTAAAGTCGTGTCAATCTCCTCAATCCTCTGGTAAAGATGCGATCATCTTAGTTATCTTTTAAAGTAGTGTCTGTCTTCGTAATACTCTGATAAAAAATGATTGTCTTGTAACTCTGGTAGAGTAGTGACATTTTCTTTAGTAACCTTTTCCCCCCGTAAATAATCGCACGTCAGAACTTAAATCAACAGTAGCTAAACAGAACCTGACACATACCTTTACTGTGCCTTTGTATATATGTTCGTCTTGTTGTTGGTATAGTTAGTACATTGTCAGCAATACGTATGACGTTTAGCTAGTGATTTGACATTAAGAGATACTGTGATATACATGTGTTTTCAACAAATAATAACAGGTTCAGTGAGTACCAGTGGAGTTGATTTAATTGGATAATTTAAGAGTTTGAATAGAATTCATTTGCACTAAATAAACAAGATATAAAAGGATTTTTTCCTTTTGCAGTAAAAATTCCAAATATTCTTGGATAAAATACAATGCAGATGTTCCCTTATGAGTGTACTGTGATATGGAAAACGTCCAAATAGCTTACGCAATACGCCAAGCAGCGCAACCATATTCGTACAGGGCCAGGGTCCCAATGAAAAACTGTTTCTAAGTTTCACGTTACAATTCCTTAGCTACGTAGTCCCAAGAAACGACCACTCCCTGGAAACCGCCAAGGGTGATCGATCTCGTGTCAACATTATCCTCCATGTTGTAGCTGACGTCATTTCCTGTTGTAAACTCAACGGTTGCTGCTTTCTCAATACTGTCATGACTCGTGTAGAAATCACGTGTTTGTTCCTCGTGACTGAAGTTAATGGCGATAAGGTACCTAGAACATCAACATTGCATAAAAGAAGTTTTGTTTTCGTATAAAATACATTGTTTGATGCTATTGATAGCAATGCAAAGTTCATTCATATTCTTGCATATTTTTTAAAAGTTTCATATTTCCTTTCGTATTATATTCCATATATTGTGCGTTACTACTTATTTATCGTTTGTATGTCTTGTTTTAATACACAAAACAAATAACAACTTACCCAGTTAATCCGTCAAACTCTCGAACAAACGAGAAGATGCTGTCGTCGGTAATTGCTGTCGTGAATTCACCAATCAAAAACGTTCTCTCTTGTCGTAATGACGTAAGGTTTTTGAAGTAACTGATTATTGATCCCGCAAATTTGCTCTTATCCTAAAAAATCAACAAAACAAAAAAAGTATTACGTCAAATTCGTGCTTACATTAGAACCTGGGAAATGACATGACATAGCGTATACTTGTATGACCGAGATAGGCAGCAACAAAAACATAATACAAAACTTTTTTTTTTGGAAAATGTCGTCGAAAGGTTAGTGTTAGTATACATATTAAAGGGACATCACGGTGAAGTGTATATTTTGTTTGTCTTCTTTTTTCAAATACTACATAAACATATCAAGTGACTGTGAGTCTCCTTATGGGAAATAACGATCGGATTTGGCTGATATATATTCACATACACTTTATGAAAACATTTTAAAAGGAATATTCGTCTCGTGAATATTCCTTTTTACATAAAGGTTTGTCCCATGGTTGACGGAAAGTGTTCAGCACCGTACCATCTGTACCGGTCACGTTCCGGTAACAAATTTAATATATATTTATATTTCTCCCACACCTGACAGATTTTTCTCCCACACCTGACAGATTTATCTCCCGTTTTGCCGGTGCTAGATTTATCTGTCTCCGCCCTAGGGTTGAGACGGGGGGATCCCCTATTCATAACAACGGCATGACGTCACTTCAACAATACAATGACGTCACGTCAACAATCCATCAACAAATTGCCTGTATGTGTTTTGGGTCCATGTTTACCTTTATTTCACATTAAAATACTGTTAGATATGGGAGAAAAATAATCAATCGCTACTGGTTGTGTAAGATAGAGAAATCTCAACCCTCGGACTAAGATTTTTTGTCCAGAACTCGGCAAGCCTCGTTCTGGACAAAAAATCTTAGTCCTCGGGTTGAGATTTCTCTATCTTACACAACCAGTAGCGATAGATTCTATTAGTCTCACCCTAGGGTTGAGACGGGGAGATTCCCCTATTCATAACAATGGCATGACGTCACTTCAACAATACAATGACGTCACGTCAACAATCCATCAACGTCACGTCAACCCTGAATTTAGCATGTAACATTATCATTACATTGGGAGAACAGGGTAAGAGAAAAATAATCATTCACCCCCTTGTGGGTGAGATAGGGGAATCTCAACCCTCGGGGAAAGATTCTTAAGTTGCCAAACACTCGGCAAAGTCTCGTGTTTGGCAACTTAAGAATCCTCCCCCTCGGGTTAAGATTCTCCTATCTCCCCCTCGGGTTAAGATTCTATTAATATCTACGTCATGCTTATGCCTATTATCATTGTTGACATTTAATTGTAAATGTATGACGGGAGGAGGCTGTGCTAAGATGTAAAAACGTGTGCCGCTACTTCATCATCAGTATAACTTCTGATGATGAATACTTACTGATTCTATAGGTTTCAACACGGACTTAGAAATCTTATTCATCGGTTTCATAGAGCGGTAGGAAGTTGCAGTTGCCTAACGGCCCCTCTGTGGGGGCCCCTTTGGAAACTTTGCATCTCGGTCAGACCACCTGTGTTTACTGTCTCGTTTCAAAACTGTCAGGTGACGTTATTGGTGCTATTTATAACAGGGCTTTCCCGAACAATTCAAACTGGTCAAACTGGACATTTGGCCCGGACTATGAATATGTGGATAGCAAGCTGGTACAGTGTAACATAAGTGGAAGTCCATACAACACATACATTCATTAACAAAATATGGCTCTTCACGTGATGTCCCTTTAACAGTAAATGAGCAGCTTTATTTATAACAAGACAAGCTCAATCATTTGAGTTTTGGATCCGATTTATCGATTTATGGTCTAAATGTATTGGACAAACTAATGCACATAATGCATGTACTTCGGTAGGAATGAAAATGGCTCCATGATTGGAGGTGGAAACCAGGGCGTGAATTCAACAATGAGAAACGCACGCAAAATCATATTGACTAATGAACAGAAATCTACTTCTATATTTATAATTACCTTGACATTGTTAGTCCTGAATTTGCCATCGGCTGGTAACCAGGGGGACGAAGAGCATGATCTGGCAGAACAAAATCCGCCATCTGTTTTGTTCTCCCACTGCATAAGCCCACGCATGCTCTGTTCTCGTGTCCAGGATTCAGAGGTGACATTTATGTCTGTCATGAGTATCTCGTCACCATAGTAAATTATAGGCGTACCCGGAACCAGCATTGCCGTCATCAGAAACGCCCGGATGTAGCTCTCGTTAAATCTGGATCCAAGTCGAGCACTGTCGTCTGCGCCAATCTTAAACAAAGCAAACCAGAAAGGTTAAGTATGAAGGTGACCTTGTAACCTACATATGGAGGAAACCACGAAATATTTGTTTAATAATTGAAAAAGACCAGCTGACCTCGATTGCATAGCTGTATCTAACACGAACAAAATATTTGCAAATGTTACCTTTACCTCCCGCTAACTGGAATACCTTAATCATTATTAAAACGGGAAATGGCGAAAATATAATCAAAATCAGAGCAATAATGAGATTTAATCCCCTTACCACCCAGTTTGCCCAATGGTGTTTGGGAAGGTTTGATAGCCAGTCAGTTATGTACTTCCGGACACAGGGGGCGCCACATATGCCATGTTCAGGGAGGAAAACCTCATTCAAGGCTATGTTGACTCCATCTCTGTCATAGTGACCGTAATACGTCATTATCATATCCATGTTTCCTCTGGCGTCCGCCATTAGTATTCTGAAGACAAACAGCAGTTTCGTCAATATCCAAGCATCACTATTTTTGTCAGATCAAATCCAGTATAGATGATATATTTGTAGGCATACGCAACGTTCTCTATTATAAAAAAAATATAGCATTCGTTCTACAAATTAGATGACATTATTTACAAAGAAAAATTCTCCGTCTTACTACCTTTGTTTTTTCATAAACGTTTACTATTTGTTCTAAACAAGTGTACTAAACGAAGGAGGATACAAAGTACAAATAATGAATAATGGTATCTTCTATGTTTTTCTTATATTCCTGACTTAATTTTTTTGATATCTTTTATATTTCTGAATAAATAGAATCGTGTATAATTATTGTTAGATGGTATTTTCAAAAACAAAGATAGCTGCAACGGGTGTATTTCATCAGAATGAAATCGAAGTTGAGATACCCGGATGTTGTAAATTGATTGCAAGAAAAGCATTGGATGAAACAATTTCATGCTTTAAACAATATTTTGATCGTGACTTTGACGACTGTTTGACATTGATGCTAGTCCGGTACCTTTCAGTAGTGTTGCTGAATTCCTCCACCAGGGTGCGCCATCGCGATAACATGTCGTAAACCTCCGATAGTCCATATGTCATTGTATGGTCGTAGTAAGAATATTCTGTCTGAAAATAAAAGGAAGTTTGAAAGCACAATGAATACAATGGCAAATAAAAAAGTCCTTATTGCATGGTTATGTAGCGGAACTGGACCGGGTGGATCGTCGGACCAGGTAGCTCAATAGGTTAGAGCGTCCGTCAAGAGAACGGATGGTCCCGGGTTCGAAACCCGGCATGGCTGTATAATTTTCCGCTCCTGTTACATTTGGTGCCTGTGGCCAACCCTTGCTTTTTGGTGTATGCACAACTGGATATAGACACAGGACGAACATAAAGGAAAGTCCCCTACAGCACTCGGACAACAGGTCACGCCCTGTAAACAGTAACACACATATACAACTAACCCTACGACATAACGATTTTCGATGGCGATTTGGCAAAGAAATGTGCCCAGATGAGAAATGCATGCATGTGAGCTTCGACGTGAAAGGGCATGCATATAAGGGTATGTTAGGTCGGTGCGGCGCACTTGTCATTTAATTTTTGATCTCTTAAGTATTTCCCGACTACGTTCAACGATGCCTATGTAATTATATGTAATTTATTACTGTTTTCCCTATGCAATGCTGAATAACACGGTACTTTGATATATTAACACAGAATACCTTGTGTATTTACTCATTCACTAGTCCACAATAACTATTGGCAAATTGTGTTTTGCAGGGGTACATGTATTTCTAACCTGTGAAATAGTACATGTACGTGCGCCAATTCTAACTACAAATACATGAAAGTGAAGCAACGGAAATATTTGTGTTGTTTTTTGTATCCTACATGTATCACAATTATCAATTTAATATCCTGCAACCAGTTTTCACTATCCTTATGAATATCTGTTCAAGGTAATTAGTTAGACATATACCGGGTCTGAACTGTTGTTCGTGCTGCTCTTCTTTTCGTTTCGGAGATCGTAATCTTCAAACATAAAGCCGCTGTTTCGTATGTAAAAACCGTCCACTCCTTTAGTGAGCCAGAACTTCAGGATCTCCTACAATAATCAGAATATTGATATAATACGTGTTCCGTAGAAAGAGTCCCAAGAGGACAGTTAATTCCATCTTAGAATAAAGTTTACATGACACATGTATTTTTGAGAAAGTCTGGAAAATGTATTAAATAACCTTTTTTCCTTTAATGAAGTTAATTGATATGCTCGATAAAACGAAAAATATCATCAAGTTCATAGAGTCTACATTTTGTACATATCGCGACGTTTTCTTATCTCCGTATATACCGTATGCATAATTGTACGTGCGTTCACAATAATGATATATGAGTGACAGTAAAAATAACTACATTGTACTATATAGCCGATCGAACTACGCACATAATAAATGACCATTTTCAAATACAAAAGAAGCAAAACAAGAATGAAATCAACATTAATTACATCATTACATTTCTCTCAGTCATAGAGCCACCTTTTGTACATTCATGGGGTTGACGTCAGCCACGTGCAGAAAACCCTGGTGTGATCAGCTGGAAGCACAGCCAATTTTTCCCTAAAATAATCAACCAATCAACACGACATGTTCCGGCACTTGGCTGACGTCCACCTCATGAAAATGCAAAAAGTGGCGCTATGGCAGGGAAAAACTTTGAAACTATGAGATGGTGCGTGTGTTTGGAGGAAACGGAGATCATGACCGCGGATAGAAGTTAAAAAAACCCTTATCTATCTTTCCAACGGTACAAAGCATATATTTTTCACATCAACTAGAAATGTGATTTTTGATGCAAGAGAGCTAGGGGGCTGGGGGGGGGGGTCGATTTATCGACATTCAGAGCTTTCCTCCCTTCTTGTATATTATCATATTGGGGGTGGCATTTTATCGAAACTGAATTAAAAACTCCTTAAACATGTAAACTTACTCTAAACACCTTAGCTTAGTTCCAAATATAGATGTAACCATTTTCTCAGGTCCCTGTGATCTCGCCTTGCTAAAATATCCATTTACGGTATAACCCTGATGTCACGATGCTCGAAAGAAAATGACAAAACGGTAATTAAATGTGTACATGCATGTACAACTTTATTTGACACTTTACCAGGGTAGGGAAAGTAAACACGCGCAACTATTTCCCGACCTACCTCAAGTTTCTCCTGTACTTGGGAACTGCGCAGGTTCAGGTCAGGCTGACTCGGTAAGAACTGGTGTAAGTAGGCCTGGTTTCTTACATCGGAAGTTTTCCAGCTGCCATTGTTGTACACACTTCTCTGGGGGTGAAAGCATAGTGCCAATGATCTTATGACGGAAGCAATGTTAATTATCACCTATATACAATGTACTACTTTATGCCACCTACCGGTAGCATGATAAATTCATTATCATTAGTTGTCAGTGAGAAGAACTTGAAAACGGATTTTCCCATTCCCCAGCACTTGGGAACGTATTTTCTCCAATAAACAGGATCAGTTCGCGCCAGATGACGTCCGAAAACGGGAATAGTGTTAACACAAAAGTGATCCGCGTAAGAAAATAGTCCGTCATAAACATATCAATACAAAGTTACGGGAAAATATTGTGAGAATAACAACACCATTTCAGGTGTAAATGTGTCTATGGAAAAGCAAATGACGAAAGTATTGTTTTAAAAATACTCGAACAAGTTTCTCATCGATCGCACGTATATAAAATATCGATACAACCTGCGTTGGCCTCTCTGTTTCATCTACGTGCTCGCGATGAGAAAGATTTTTTCACATCAAACCCTGAAATTACAGTGTGATAATCTATAGATATCAGCACTCAAAAGACGACGACGAAAGCAGAGAATCACCAACAAACTTCCTCACACACTTGTTTGTAAACGCCAATTACAATACAGCTGATGTTAAATAAAAGGTCTATCATAAGGGTTTATAATGATGTCGTCCCTAGCTGAAAATAACCCCCAGTTACTGCATTGGAATTAGTTTATTCCTCAATATCATCAGCCATTCCTCAACAATACTATGCATGCCCGTTATAGTGAAAGAAACAATACTTAACCTGTTCAAGAATAATTGGTGAATACTATGTAATTTTGATACATTCTCAATCCTGCAGACTTTGACCTACCCAGTTTGTGGGTGTGTCAGTCCAAACGTAGAAGTTCCGAAAGTCGTTGTCCCTGTCTGACGTCTTGCTGCTGTTGATGAACCACTGGTGGAGGTCACTGGTGTGGTTCGGAATGAAGTCCATCAACAGGTGCATACCTGAATAAAGGTTAAGCGTTATTGATTTGCATCAAGGAATTTTATAAGATGAAGTTTAAATCTAATAGCCACTTTTTTGCGAATTCAAAATAATTACAAGGAGGACAGCTGTTGCGCCAATTCATGCTGTATATAATTCATGTACGCTTAGTATATGCACGTATTAGAGTTTCCACCACACACACACACGAAATCATCAAAAGAAACCACTGCGTTTGTTTACTTATAGATTAATAAGATTCTTAATGACCGTTGAAGACCGATCCCTAATTATTGGTAACATGTTGAAAAATAATAGAGTAAATGCTTCAGTAAATAAAGCTGATGATAACTACATGTAATAAATATCTAACCTCTGTCATTTGATGTTACAGTAAATAAAGCTGATGATAACTACGTGTAGTAAATATCAAACCTATGTCATGTTATGTTACAGTAAATAAAGCTGATGATAACTACATGTAATAAATCTCTAACCTCTGTCATTTGATGTTACATTAAATAAAGCTGATGATAACTACGTGTAATAAATATCAAACCTCTGTCATGTGACGTTACAGTAAATAAAGCTGATGATAACTACGTGTAATAAATATCAACCTCCGTCATGTGATGTTACAGTAAATAAAACTGATGATAACTGCGTGTAGCAAATATCAAACCTCTGTCATTTAATGTTACAGTAAATAAAGCTGATGATAACTACATGTAATAAATCTCTAACCTCTGTCATTTGATGTTACATTAAATAAAGCTGATGATAACTACGTGTAGTAAATCTCAAACCTCTGTCATGTGATGTTACTGTAAATAAAGCTGATAATAACTACGGGAAGTAAATATCAAACCTCTGTCATTTAATGTTACAGTAAATATAGCTGATGATAACTACGTGTTGTAAATATGAAACCTCTGTCATGTGATGTTACAGTAGATAAAGCTGATGATAACTACGTGTAATAAATATCAACCTCTGTCATGTGATGTTACAGTAAATATAGCTGATGATAACTACGTGTAGTAAATATCAAACCTATGTCATGTTATGTTACAGTAAATAAAGCTGATGATAACTACGTGTAGTCAATATCAAAGCTCTGTCATGTGATGTTACTGTAAATAAAGCTGATAATAACTACGTGAAGTAAATATCAAACCTCTGTCATGTGATGTTACAGTAAATATACCTGATGATAACTACGTGTGGTAAATATCAAACCTCTGTCATGTGATGTTACAGTAAATAAAGCTGATGATAACTGCGTGTAGCAAATATCAAAGCTCTGTCATTTAATGTTACAGTAAATATATAGCTGATGATAACTACATGTAGTAAATATCAAACCTCTGTCATGTGATGTTACAGTAAATAAAGCTGATAATAACTACGTGTAGTACATATCAAACCTCTGTCATGTGATGTTACAGTAAATAAAGCTGATGATAACTGCGTGTAGCAAATATCAAAGCTCTGTCATTTAATGTTACAGTAAATATATAGCTGCTGATAACTACATGTAGTAAATATCAAACCTCTGTCATGTGATGGGACAGTAAATATAGCTGATGATAACTACGTGTAGTAAATATCAAACCTCTGTCATGCGCAGCTTTTAACAATGACTCAAAGTCACTCATGTTCCCATAATTTCGATCTATGGCCATGTGATCGATGACGTTAAAATCTGAGTCGATATCATCTGATTGGTAGACTGGACTCAGGGATATAGTGTTGGCGCCCAGGTCCCGGATGTGGTCCAGGTGTGATTCTAACCCTGAACCAATGAAATACATCATTATTACGATTATGAATCAACCTTTCAATCTTATCTCGCCTGTTTTAACGCTTGATTATATTCACAATCTAAAATAAAACGATACAAAATATTCAGTTTGTAACACAATGTCACAACAATTCGTTTTACCCTTAAGTTCATTAGCAATGTCAGCTCACTTTGCAATGATAACATTGATGCTGGTGTCCTTCGTATTCAGATCGGTAACGACCGAAAACTGTTTGAACATTTATTTATAATGGAAAAAGAAAGAGAGTATATTCTTTCTGTTCATAAGAATATATGAAGGTAAATAAACAGAAGTAGCTTTATGAAACATTATCAAGAAAGTAATACCTTGTTGGCTTCTTGAGAATGGTTTATAAAGCTACTTCTGTAAGAATACGGCGCTTTTTCAGACATAAAAATAATTACGCCAATACCTCGGTCCTCCAGTATATGTTATATAACTGACTATCTACGGTTTAATGGACGTTCAGTTACTGACTAAATATCCACTAGCGGCGTAATCACCTTTAAGGTCGCCAATACCGTCTCCGTTGCTGTCACTAAAACTTCGCACATAGACTCTGTACATTGTCTCGTTTTGCCACCAACTGCGCATGTCCGGGTCCCGACATCGAGGGTAGATCAGTACGAGCGCCACCACAGTAATGAGAAGGGCAAGCCATCCCAGCAACACTACGGAGATACACATCATGCGCAGGCGCCACCAGAACGGTTTAGACGAGTGCCGAATCAGTTCCTCTTTTTCCATTCCCCGGAATGGATTTCCGAGGGCCGGAGTCTCTGGGGGTTCTTCTATTGCTTCCGCCCTAAGTTTGGGAAAGTCACAGGGTGATTGATTGGAAATCTGTTATTTGGCGATTGATTACATTGTGTAATTGACATTAAGTGAAAAAGGAATCTAAAAACAACTATAAGCCGTCTTTTGACAGAGATGACACATTTCCCAAGCAATTGCTATCCAGAGTACTACAAAAACATATGAGATCTTATTGTTTTCGTAAAATGTAATACAAAGTCTCACACAAACAAATATTACCCATAATTATCGTCATAACTGGAATTATCTCCCTTCTCGTACGTATCAGCTTCCGGTTTAGATCTCGGACTGCTTCCTCCAGAATAAGAACTCATCTTGTCCATTCTGTAAACAAAAAGTTTCTCGTGTAAATGTTATAAGAAAATTATGTATATGTTAATACTTGTGCTTGTGTAGCTGTGTAGCCTATTGTGTTTGTGTTCTATGTATTTGAGATTGGCTGTAGTATTTTCGGCGTTCTAGTTCTGTAATCAGCAATGTCCTATTGGCTATTACCTGATTGCAGATGCGCGGCATGTATTTAATTAATATGTAACCAGGTCAGATTCACTGCGGCATGGGGTTAGGGCTACTCAGGGGAGACCGTGGCAAGTTCTGCCCTGGAATAACTCCGGCCACTCCTGGGCCCGTATTCATAAAACCGTTCTCATGCTGAAGCATTGATTTTGTGCTCAAACCTACTTTTTTGTTTCAGTTAAAAAACTTAAAAGAAAATGCTGTTTTTTCAATGAATAAGGAAAACATTGAAGGGACGTAAAGCCAGATACTGTTTTAAATGATAACATTTGACTTTTGATTGCTTTACATGATATAAGTGAGTTTCAAGAAATTTGGTTTGAGCACAGAGAACGGTTTGATGAATACGAGCCCTGATATGTTTGGCCTTGAACAAATATTTACAACTTTGAGAATCTTAGCAGTGCAGTTCACTGGACAGGACATTCATACGGAAAGAAAATGGCGGGAAAACTATGATTTTGGATTACTAAAAGCGCGAAAATATTTTTTTGGATGGTAGAAAGAAATCATGACCTCGCCTCTTTCTAGTTTTGCAAACTTTCTGTAAATCGAAATGCTACTTATTGTTGTCGAACGTGTAACCAACTGACAGATCACATGATGGTTTTCATAAAACCCTAGCATTGAGTTTCGTATTGCTATGATATACAGATTTCTTAACATATCAATTTGGGGAAGGTTCGACCCATGCCATTCATGGGAAGCCGTGAAATTGGCGGGAAAATATAACGTTGCATGCTTTATGACGTCATAATTATGCTAATTTCAATGTGGGTCGAACTTACCTAGGACATCCTGTCCAAACGTACCATTAGGCCATACACTGTTCCGACAGTAAAGAGTTAAATAACTTTTCAAATACGGACATGTTTGCCATTTTGTTATAGTTGTATAAAGGATCATGGAATTTCCTCCCGAACGGTGTAAATACACATACTTCTACTTCTTCTAAATGGTACTGACCAACTTCAACAATTTGAAGATAAAATGTCAGCCGAGGAGTGAAACATGGAAAGAGATTGTTTTTAAAAGATACGGGATGGTCTAATTTGCGTTTGAAAAGTGACGGTAGAGGGCTGATTTGAGTAATTCCGTTGTGGGGCTCGAAATAATGTCAGGTGGGAGTTTATTCCACTCGCGTATAGTTCGAGGGAAGAATGATGCCTTTCTGGTCTGGGTTTTTGAGTGGGGAATTTGATACGAAAACTGGTGGTTTGTTCAGGATTTTCTAACTGTAGGGATTAATCTGTCTGATTTTACGGAAACGACTTTCTGGTTTACAATGTTATGAAGCATGGTCAGACGAGCATCTCTACGTCTATCTGCTAGAGGGTGCAGCTTTAGGTGGTCCAACATTTCGGACAAACTGGAGGTACGATGGTTGTACCTGTGCTAATTGAGTACATAGCGCGCTGCCCTTCGCTGTACCATTTCCAACTTGTCAATATTTGTTTGGGTGTGAGGGTCCCATACTGTACAGGCATACTCAAGTGATGGTCAAACTAATGATTTGTATGCCTGTACTTTGGCTGATGTTGAGCCAATTTTAAGATTTCGTCTTTAAAAGCCTAGCGTAGAAATTGCTTTTGGGCAGATAGTATTTACATGTGAATCCCATTAAGGTCAGATGATAGTGTTACACCCAGATACTTGGCCTGACTAAGATGTTTTAATATGTGTCCATGTAAAGTATAAGTATGGACTATTGGAGTTTTGTTTTAGTCAACGACAACACATTGCATTTGTTTGGGTGGAAGATCATTGTCCATGTATTTTCCCAGAGCGCTAGTTTGTCAAGATCTTTTTGTAGTGTTTCAGCATCACTTTTTGACTTGATAACTAGATATGCAATAGTGTCATCTGCAAATAAACGGATCGTAGCATTTAGACCCATATGGATATCGTTTATAAAGTAAAGAATTAAACTGGGTCCCAAAACTGACCCCTGGGGTACCCCGGAATGGACATCGACAAAATCTGACTTCTACCCTTCAACTACTACTGTCGAAGTTCTACCATTGATCCAGTTTGCGACATTTCCACGTATACCATAATGTTTAAGTTTATGGTTTAGGAGAGAATGAGTTACCTTGTCGAAAGCCTTAACAAAGTCCATTATGAGGATATCTGTTTGGCGTCCCTCATCAAGATTCTTTGAGATGTCATCAACAAATTCAAGAATTTGGGTTTCGCATGATCGCGATTTGCGAAAACCATGTTGGAACGGATACAATGTGTTATGGGTATCGGCATGGGTCATGATAGTTGAGACCACAATGTGTTCCATAATTTTGCTACAGATACAGGTCAGAGACATGGGCCTGTAGTTTTCTGAGTGAAATATTGGACCCTTTTTATAAGCAGGTGATACATTTGCAGATTTCCAGTCTGAAGGCAATATGCCTATTTCCAGAGACTGATTAAATGGTAGGGTTAAAATCGGGGCTATTTCTGTTGCAACCTCTTTTAATACTCTGGGTTTGATATCATCAGGGCCCGAGGCCTTGTATGGATTTAGGCCTTGGAGCAGTTTAAAGACGCCCTTTTCATGTATAGAAATTTCAGGCATGGCAGGGTATTTATCGTGAGTAGGCATGTTGCATCTAGTGCGAAACTGCTGGTCGGTAAAGATTTCAGGAGGAGTAAAAACATATTGATATTGTGCGTTTAGCACCTGGGCCTTTGTGGTAGGGTCATAAACAAGTTTACCGTCCTTTTTCAGAGGAGTTATGCCACTATGGTCTGATCTTTTGGATTCTATACATGACCAAACCCGTTTGATGCAGGAAAATTTGTTTTCATTGGTTGTGTTTCTGGGGTGATAATATTGTCAATATGGCTCCAGTAAGATGTTCGGAGTTTTCTCTGTATATGATGTTTCAGGTTTTTATACTTATTTTTTATTTCAGTGTCTCCTGAATTGTTTTATCGTTTGTACAATCTATTTTTTCGCCTGATAAGTTTCTTTATGTCAGGGGTAACCCAAGGTAGGCTGGGTTTTGTCTTAACTATCTTGTGGGGGATGTGTTCTTTTAAGAGTTGAGACAATTCAATTTTGAAATACTCCTATATTTTGTTTACGTCCCACTCGCTATTTTCTGTCATACAGTTGTACACGTTGATAAGCTCAGCTTTAGTTCCAGTTTGAGTTTTTATATACTGGGATGGATCTTGGTTTTTGAATATTATTTTGTGGGGTAAGATTCAACTCTGCATAGACTATATCGTGGTCAGAGACACCAGGGATAATTTATGTTCGAATTATTTGGTTTGTAATGAGGAGATCAAGGATATTTTCATTTCTGGTGGGTTGATCGATGAACTGGGTGAGTGCCGTGTCATCCAGTAAGTTGGTAAAGTCATAGTGTGAATTTTTACATGATTTGTTTCGGGTTTGAGGACTTTATTTTTCCAGTCCCAGCCCGGGAGATTGAAGTCGCCACCTATAATGAGGGCTGCATTATTAATTTTGGCGGCATCTATGATGGAATAGCTAAACAATCTCAGACTGTTTTCGTCAGATGTTTTGGGATGATAGAAGGAGCAGATGTAGAGTGTTTTACTCCCGATTACATTCACTTTGGCCCATATAGATTCACTGGCCTTGTTTGGTATCAGATCATGTACTTCTTTGCTGATGAGGTGGTCTTTTATAGCAATCAGTACACCACCACCATCTTTATCAGTGTCTGACTTTTTTCGGTCATTTCGGTACATCTTATAGGCCGAAGGGAAGATTTCGGCTGATTTTATGCTCGGGTTAAGCCAGGTTTCAGTCCCAATCACTTTATAAGGCGTAGTGCTATCCATGACATTTTCAGATCATGTACTTCTTTGCTGATGAGGTGGTCTTTTATAGCGATCAGTACATCACCACCATCTTTATCAGTGTCTGACTTTTTTCGGTCATTTTGGTAGATCTTATAGCCCGAAGGGAAGATTTCATCAAGAAGATGTTGTTGTTAACAATTCGCAGTGGTTTTTGTTTATGTCTTTTGTGTGGACCTGTGTTCTTTCTAACAGGAGTCGAAGAATGGATTGGTTTGTGTTGGAGTACACACTTACTGATGTTGGTATCTGTACCCAAATCACCAAGAAGAGACAGGGTGTCATAGGGGTTTGATGTATTGACCCCATTTAGGTCGAACAAAATTTGGCTGTAATTTGGGTGATTACAAACAATACAATGCCAGCTTACATCGCTAACATTTAGATCTTCAAATGTTTCTGTGTGTACGTTTTGACAGTGTATGCGGTACCACTGATTACATGTCTTGCACATGATACCCCTATGGTTCCAGTTACTAGTACTGTCACACGTAATGAATGTACCACAAACATACTTAGTACTGTTGTTTTTTGGGCCAGGATTGATTTCGACGTCATTTGAGTTTAGTATGACTAAGGCCAATAAGAAATACAGGGCTCTCCCTGGCTTTAATTTTGGTATAGATTTCATGGGCTTAAACAATTTGTACAGCATATGGTCATAGCCAGGGTAATTTGATTTTTTGTCAGAGATGGTAAAGTCTGTAAACAGGTACAGGGGATGATGACACTCATGATTTACTTTCGTTTATATATGAAGGTAACACTTTGATGTTATTTCACGAGACACAACACTATTCCAATCAATGGTTTTGGTCAAGCATTCAAGTTTTCTAAGTACCAGTCTCGGAAAGAGACGTTGGACGAATTGATACAGGGGTATGCATTGGTATTTGTGTGACACAACAGACCAAGCAATGACGCGATTACAAAGAATTTTACTAGACACATGATCATGCTACAGACGACTTGACTTT